TACAGTTTAAAAACTTGCCATGGGACTCCAATCCCCTTAAGCTGGGTGGTAAAAATACCATCTTTTTTTTTTTTTTCAACAGGCAGAGTTAGAGAGAAAGAGAGAGACAGAGAGAAAGGTCTTCCTTTTTCCGTTGGTTCACCCCACAAGTGGCCACTATAGCCAGTGTGTTGCGGCAGGCATGCTGCGCTGATCCAAAGCCAGGAGCCAGGTGCTTCCTCCTGGTCTCCCACGCGGGGGCAGGGCTCAAGGACCTGGGCCATCCTCCACTGCCTTCCCGGGCCACAGCAGAGAGCTGGACTGGAAAAGGAGCAACCGGGACAGAATTCAGCACCACAACCGGGACTAGAACCCGGGGTGCCAGCACCGCAGGTGGAGGATTGCCTAGTGAGCCGTGGCACCAGCTCAAAAATACCATCTTAAGTATTAAAGTGATCATAGGAATAGGATTAAGGGTCTGATAATAATAACTGATAGAATTAAAATTGAGTGGGCCGGCGCTGCTGCTCAATAGGCTAATCCTCTGCCTTGTGGCGCCAGCACAAGGGTTCTAGTCCCGGTTGCCCCTCTTCCAGTCCAGCTCTCTGCTGTGGCCAGGGAGTGCAGTGGAGGATGGCCCAAGTGCTTGGGCCCTGCACCCCATGGGAGACCAGGAGAAGCACCTGGCTCCTGCCTTCGGATTGGCGTGGTGCACGGGCTGCAGCGCGCCGGTGGCGGTGGCCATTGGAGGGTGAACCAACAGCAAAGGAAGACCTTTCTCTCGTCTCTCTCTCTCACTGTCTACTCTGTCAAAAAAAAAAAGGGGGGGGGCGCCGGATTCTGTCCCAGTTGCCCCTTTTCCAGGCCAGCTCTCTGCTATGGCCCGGTAAGGCAGTGGAGGATGGCCCAAGTGCTTGGGCCCTGCACCCGCACGGGAGACCAGGAGAAGCACCTGGCTCCTGCCTTCGGATCAGCGCCGTGTGCCAGCCACAGTGCGCCGGCCGTGGCAGCCATTGGAGGGTGAACCAACGGCAAAGGAAGACCTTTCTCTCTGTCTCTCTCTCTCTCTCACCGTCCACTCTGCCTGTCCAAAAAAAAAAAAAAAAAAAAAAGAATTAAAAAGCAGTGAATACGCGAATGCTCCAACACTGGAAGCAGTCCACACAGCAGACTCCTAGAAAGACAATCACTTTAAATAGTACTCTGACCAAAAAATCAACCCTTAAGACATTCTGGTCTGGCTGAAAAGTCTATGAGAGCATTTCAGGCATGGAAAGCCAAGACACTGTGGCAAAAAATGTCCTACATGAAGGACCTTGGTGGGTGAGACCCCAGTAGAAGGAAGTGGTCATCAAAGAAGGAGGTACTTTTCTCTGAATGGAAAGGCTTATGGCCTTGTCTAAATACTGACAGTTTGTGGATGCAAAAGGCTTCCATAGCCTAAGCAGCTCATGTCAAGAGCTTCAGGTGATCAATGACATCAAACATAAGAGTGTTAATTGTTAAATTGCAACAAGGGTCACTGTGCACTAACTTCCCATGCAGGACCTCTGTCCTCAAAGAGTTGTATTATAATTATGTCTAAGTGCTTGCAAAAGATGTATCATTCTTGGTGCTTCTTTAGAGTTAATTAAGTTTCTAAAAGAAAAAAAAAGTGAAATTAACTTCAAGATGCAATGACTTTGAACAGCCTGTGTCTTGACTGCTGAGGAACAGTTTTGTTTTGTTTTCCGTGCATATTTGTGAACTCTTTACTTAGAACAGAGCTGGTCTTCTGTGCATAAGATTATTCAAAAATGGATCTTAGGGGAGAGTGGGACTGGGAATGAGAGAGGATGAAGACGGGTTGGCAAAGTACACGGCAGGGCGGGCATGATAGGAAGAATCACTATATTCCTAAAGTTGTATTTATGAAGTGCATGAAGTCTGTATTCCTTAAATAAAAGGTTCCTTTTGGGGGAAAATAATTAAAAAATTAAAGTTTATATATAAAAAATTTAACCAATGATGTGAAAGATCTATACAATGAAAATTACAAAACTTTAAGGAAAGAAATAGAAGACACAAAAATGTAAAGTCTTCCATGTTCATGGATTTGAAGAATTAACATAATCAACATGTCCATATTACTCTTACCAATTTATACAAGCAATGTAGTCCCAATCAAAGTATCAAGGATATTCTTTACAGCACTTAAAAAAAAATCCTAAAATTCATATGAAAACTCAAAAGGCCCTGAAAAACCAAAGCAATCTTCAACAAATAACAAAACAAAACAAAACAAAAACAAATCTAGAGGCATCACAATACCAGATTTCAAGACATATTACTGAGTTCTTATTAAAGCAGTCTGGTTCTGGCACAAAAATATAGATACGTAGACTAATGGAACAGAATAAAAACCCTAGACATTAATACATCTACAACCAACTAATCTCAAATCATTCCCCAGATAAAGGAATGTCTTTTCAACAGATGGTGTTGGGAAAATTGGATTTCTACATGCAGAAGTCTGAAACAAGATGCCTAGTTTATATCCTATATAAAATAACTACAGTGAATCAACAATCTGAACTCATGACCTGAAACCATCAAATTACTACAGAAAAACACAGGGGAAATGCTACAAGACACTGGCCTAGGGAAAGGCTTCTTGGGCAAGACTGCAGAAGCCCAGGCAAAAAGCAAAAAATAGACAAATGGGATTATATTAAGCTAAGATATTTCTCCACAACAAAGAAAATTAACAAAGTAAAGAAGCAACCGACAGAATAGGAGAAAATAGTTGCAAACTACGCATCCAATAAAAGATCAATAAGAATATATAAAACCTCAAGAAACTTCACAACAACAAAACAAACCATTTAAGAAATGGGCCAAAGATATGATCAAGCATTTTTCGAAGGATTAAGTACAAATGTCTAACAAATGCATGAAAAAATGCTCAGGATCACTGACCATCAGGGAAATGCAAATAAAAATCACAAGTCATTGTGATTTTGCTTTTCACTCCATTTAGAATGACTGTTTTCCAAAAATCAAAATATAACAAATGCTGGTGAGGTTGCGGATAAAAAGGTACACTAACACACTGTTGGTGGGAATACAAATTGGTACAAGCATTATAGAAAATGATATGGAGATTCCTCAGAAAACTAAAAGTACATCTACCACATGAGCCAGCTATTCCACTCCTGGGAATATATCCAAAGGAAATGAAATCAGCATATGAAAGAGATATCTGCACTCTCATGTTTATAGAAGCTTTCACAATGGCAAAGATATGGAAGCAACCTTGAGGGCCACCAACTGATGACTAAAGAAAATGTGGTATATATACACAATGGGTTACTCGGCCCTAAAAAAAAAGAAATCCTTGTATTTCTAACAAAATGGATAGAACATTAAGTGAAATACACCAAACCCAGAAAGACAAATAGCACGTTTTTTCTTATCTGTGGAATATGTATACAGTATAAAAACTGTGTGACTATTACTAAGTATTTAATCATAAATCGGCCGGCGCCGCGGCTCACTAGGCTAATCCTCCGCCTAGCGGCGCCGGCACACCGGGTTCTAGTCCCGGTCGGGGCGCCGGATTCTGTCCCGGCTGCCCCTCTTCCAGGCCAGCCCTCTGCTGTGGCCAGGGAGTGCAGTGGAGGATGGCCCAGGTGCTTGGGCCCTGCACCCCATGGGAGACCAGGAAAAGCACCTGGTTCCTGGCTCCTGCCATCGGATCAGCGCAGTGCGCCGGCCGCAGCGCGCCGGCCGCGGCGGCCATTGGAGGGTGAACCAACGGCAATGGAAGACCTTTCTCTCTGTCTCTCTCTCTCTCTCACTGTCCACTCTGCCTGTCAAAAAAAAAAAAAAAAAAAAATCATAAATCTTGCTTTACTGAATCATACCATGTAAATGACAATATATTCTTTCTCCACATTATAATCACTGTCACGAATCCCTCCCTATGTGACATTAATATCTGTTTTCTGGAAAAAAATAGTATACATATGTATGAAATTATGTCTATATTTGAAGTCAATGTGGCAAAACATTGAAAAAACTAAAAAAAAATACAAAAAACAAATTAAAAAAAAGAGATTCTATTTAAAAGTCGCTTTGTAGGCAGCAATCTTGATAATGATTATAGGTAATTACTGACCATAATCTTTTGATGAACATTCCTCTGAAAAAAATGAGGCAAATGTCATTAGTGACCAATAATGTAATAAATACAAGATTAATCATTTGTCTGTTAGTTTTTTTTTGCCTTCTTGAAGGCAGTCTAAGATCAGTTGGCTGTCCTCTTGATTTCATCCCCAAACAAATGGGGTTCTAACAGCATGAGCTATTATATAACTATGATTTTTAAAACGATATGCAAAAGCTACACAGCATATTCTCATTTGCATATTACTTATTCATATGACATACACAAAAGTGATCCAATGTTCCAGCTCAAGTTTCATCTTCCTGATGACCCCACAAAGAGATAAAAATTATTAGATGAAAAGAAAAACACATAGTAATTCATTTTATGGGATTTACATCACTGCCAATGTATCTTTAAAATTTACCTTCACAGACTCAGGCATTACAAAATTAAATACTTAAGAGTTTTGATAGTAACTGCTACAATTATCAAGATATCTACCATGTGAGGATTGGATGGGTGCAATACTGACATTCTAATGAAATGTGGTGGGAGAAGTGTCAAAGTATATTGAGCTCAAATGTTGAATTAAGAATGAAATTTTATTTATGAACATGTCTTCTCAAAAAAACTATTACCATGGAGCAAAATAACATCTGTTAACTCTGTTAGTGTAATCTTAATTTTGCCACCTTAATAAAAAAAGATTTGAAGATGCTAATTCAGTTTTTCACCAGCCTCTTACTTAGACACATTCTGTAAGGTCAAAACAAGATGAAAGACAAATCTTATTCTTACTTGCTTACTAAATAGACTTTGTATCAAAAACTGATAAATCAAAAATTAAAACATATAAATAATTTTTTTTTACCTGTAAAATAGCCACTTCATTCCGCAGTTGACTTTCCTGTTTTGTGGGGAATCTCATCTTATCAATTACTTTAATTGCCACATCTCTTCCAGTCTTTCTATGTTTTCCTATTAAAAAAAAAAAGTAAATGATGGCTCACAATGATATAAAAATTGTCCACAATTGAAATTTGTATGTATTTACTCATATTTTCTTTAGTTCATTTTTACTCTGTATTCCTTTATTTATTTGTTTTTATTTTAAAGATTTCTTTAAAAGTGAGTCAGAGAGAGGAGAGGCAGAGAGAGAGAGAGAGGTCTTCCTCTTTGAAAGTGAGTCACACAGAGAGAGGAGAGGCAGAGAGAGAGGTCTTCCATCTGCTGGTGCACTCCCCAGTTGGCCACAATGGCTGGGGCTGCACCAATCCGAAGCCAGGAGCCAGGAGCTTCCTCTGGGTCTCCCACGCGAGTGCAGGGGCCCAAGGAGTTGGGCCATCTTCTACTGCTTTCCCAGGCTGTAGCAGAGAGCTGGACTGGAAGTAGAGCAGCCAGCACTTGAACTAGTGCCCACATGGGATGCTGGCACTACAGGCAGCAACCTTACCCACTATACCATAGCGCTGGCACCTCTTTCATTTATTTTTAAGTAATTTGTTTTTCCTCTCTAGTATCTGTCCCTAATAAATGGGGTAGTTTCATTATCTGAAATGAAGGAAAATCTGAACTATTTTTGCTCAAAATTAATCTACTTTTTAAGATAAACAATGGTTAACTACCTTGACCTAGTCTTCAGAGACTCTGTCAACATGGAAATATCATAGTAATGGATTAATTTTATTCTAGGTTCACTTAATCAGCAGAGTGCTTTAGCTACATATTATACTCCAAAGACAGAGTCCTTGCATTCAAGAATCTTGCTTGATAAAATTTATCAGGTGGAAATGTACAACCAAAACCATTCCTTCCTTCCTTCATACAAACTAATGAGTTATCTTGCACCTATTATGCACTAGATAATGTTTCAGACACTATGGATTAAGTGGTAAAAATGATAGTTCTATTTTTTGGTGTTTGTTCTTTTAATTGGTTTGTGACTTGCATTCTCTACAGAGCTTTTATTTGAAAATAACTCATAACCTGTCTCATGGGCACAATCCTAAAAGTCTGATTATTTGGTAAATCTTTACATACTTAGGAAGCCAAAAGTATCAGACAGTTTCAGTCCATTCAATGAGAACAGGTTCTCCAAAGAAGTCACTGATCTTAACTGACAAATTTGAAGATGTAAACCATGGATATTGTATATGCATGTTAAATCAAAACAATTTCCTGGGTTATTGTTGTGTAAACACAATGACAGCTGCTAAGAATACAAAGAAAACCCACTATCTCTCATCTTATCCTCAAGGAAAGTTCAACAGTATGATAATATTACAAGCTGAAAATGTTACAAATAGCATGACAGAAGTTTGTACTGTATGTAGCAGGTACACCTAGGAGGAATGGTAACTTTTAAGACTGGAGACAAGAATATTTACATAGAGGCAGTCCTTCAGTTGAGCCCTGTGGTCTGAATAAAGGTTCACTGAAGGGACAAACTGATCTGCCATCCCATATGGGTGCAGGTTCTAGTCCTGGCTGTTCCATTTCCAATCCAGCTTCTTGCTAATGCGCGTGGGAGGGCAGTATAAGATGGCCCAAGTGTTTGAGCCCCTTCCACCATGCGGGAGACCCAGCGGTATCTCCTGGCTCCTGGCTTCAGCTTGGCCCAGCCCTCAATGGGTGAAAGCTCTGTATTTCTGCCTTTCAAATAAACAAACAGATCTTAGGGGAAAAAAAGCCCAAACAGGTGGGAAAGGAGCAGATGCAAAGGTTTGAAGGCATTTAAGTATGAATGGAAGACAAAAGGCAATTAGATAGGAGTACAAAAAGTATAGTTAGCTAAGAAGTGGGAGAAATCTTAGCAGTCTTACATACCTCTGCTAAGAAAATTGGCCATGAATTTACAGACAACAGCGAGCCTCTTAAGGGTTCTATGTGAGGTAATACTAGTATCATATATAAGTTTTCTCAAAGAAAAAGACTGGTGTGCAAAAAGGGCAAGACTGGAAGCATAAAGGCCTACCAGAGAGTATTTTTAATAGTCTTGGCAAGTGATGACAAGAGTTTAACATGACTTGTTTTGTAATTTTGATCCTAGCTTATAAAGTACTTTTATATACATTAGTTTTAATATATATTAACAACTCTGTGAGCTATGTTTAGTTCGACTAAACAGATGAAGACACTAATCCACAGTCTGTGTCATTAAATGATTTTACCAATATCACAGCTGGTTAAAACTTCTGATAAAACATTTATGCCAATAGTAGACAAATAGTACCAATTTATGTTGGAAAACTACTTGGGAACATACTTCAATTAACAAGCCCACATGGTTCAATATAAGCTTTTTTTTTTTTTAATTTGACAGGCAGAGTTAGACAGTGAGAGAGTAAGAGTGAGAGTGAGAGTGAGAGTGAGAGTGAGAGTGAGAGTGAGAGTGAGAGTGAGAGGTCTTCCTTCCGTTGGTTCACCCCCACAGTGGCTGCTACGGCCGGAGCTACGCCGATCCAAAGCCAGGAACCAGCTGCTTCCTCCTGGACTCCCACGCAGGTGCAGGGCCCAAGCACTTGGGCCACAGCAGAGAGCTGGACTGGAAGAGGAGCAACCGGGACTAGAACCTGGTGCCCATATGGGATGCTGGTGCTGCAGGAGGAGGATTAACCAAGTGAGCCATGGCGCCGGCCCCTCAAAATAAACTTAAATCACTGTCTTCTCCCCAAAATCTGTATGTATGAGCCATAAGAAAAGATTTAAAGACTGTTCTGGAACTAATTTTCTGATTCTGTTACTTCTTCACAGTTGAAATGAAGGAATGAGTACTTAGTTACAGTAAAAGGGACTTAGCTTAAAGGATAACGTCACCCTCTCAGAAAAGACCACTCGACAAAACTGTCAAGTAACAAAACAGATGCTTTACAGTTTCACTATTTTTCTACATTATGCACAATATGCAAGACTGTAGTTGCTTACCTCCATAAACAATGCCAAACTGGCCTGAACCAAGCACCTCATCTGCGAAGATCTGGTACACAGTACTGATGTCCTGTTGGGAAATGCAATCAGCATTATTTATCTCTATAAAACAATGTCAGCATTTCTTTTTATTCAAACACTGAAATTTCTGTTCTTATGTTAGAGGCAACTAATTTTCATTGGGTACAAAATATTTTTTGAAACACAGGATATATTCTAAAAAAAGTTAAGCTCAAATTCTATACTATGATTTAATGTGTAAGTATACTGTATTCTGTAGGCAGGCCTTCTGGATAAAATGCATTTAATAAAAAAAAACTCTTACATTTACTAAATAGAGGTCTATAAAAATAAACAAACAATTAAGAGTAAAGTTTTACCTATTTTAAGCATTAAAGAGATTTACTCTTTGATTTGAAAGAAAAACTTTAAAGTTTCTATTATTAGGATTAGGTAACTCAAATTCACTCCTCAGTCTGTCTCCCTTGCTATTCTCCCTCATCTCCAAGCCATGGAACAAAGCTAGTGTGAAGGTCATAATGAAAATTTTAAGTTTTATAATAACCATTTTTATATACTTCCCAACTTTAGTCAACTTTCTGTTTAACCAAATTTTGGTTCTTAGTAGATTAGATAAGGGGGCAGCCAATGTAAAATCAATACAGTACTACTAGATAAGTTTCTTTAACAAAGACCAGTTTTGAAATACTTTTTCCTGTAGCCACAAATGTATATATCCTCAAGTTCCTGTGGGAATCACTCAAAGTTTGTGCTCTCATGTTTCTGGTATCCCCTATTCTCTCCAGAAGAATATGCTATGTATTCTAACCTATTGCCAGGACAAGAGACACACAGATTTAATCTTGAAATTCTGTACCTCCTATAACATTGCTAAATGTTCAATCTTGATTGCAATTTTGGAAATTAGAAACAACATCTATATATTAGACAGCTGTAACACCTGGAAGTCAGAGAAATGGAAGAAAGAGATTTTTTTTATTTCAATGAAGTTATATAGAGCAAATGACCAGTTTTCTGACTCTACCTTTTTCTATTCTAATCTAGGGGTTTGCTAATTATGGCTTGTGGGCCAAATCTAGCTTGCTGCCTCTTTTTGTATGGCCCTAATCTAAGAATGGTCTTTAAGTTTTTCTTTCTTTTTCATTTGCTAGAAATCAGAGTGACAGAGTGACAGATTGATTCTCCATCTGCTCATTCACTCCCCAAGTGCCAATAGCCTGTGCCGGGCCAGGTTGAAACCAGGAGTCAGGAATACCACCTGGGTCTCTCATCTTGGTAGCAGGGGCCCAAACACTGCAGCCATCACCCGCTGCCTCCAAAACAGTGTGCATCAGCAGGAAATTGGATCGGAAGCAGAGGTGCCAGGATGGGAACTGTCACTGTGACATGTGACACAGGTGTCCCAAGTGGCAGCTTAACTTGCTCTGACACAAGGCCTAGCCCTAAATTTCTTTAAGTTTTATTTTTTATTTCTCTGAAAGGCAGAGCTATGGGGTTGGGTTGGGGAGAGAAAGAGATCTTCTATCTGCTGGTTCACGCCATAATAGCTGCAATGGCCGGGGCTGGGCCAGGCCAAAGCCAGCAACCAGGAGCCAGGAGCTTCTTCCGAATCTCCCATGTGGGTACAAGGGCCCAAGCACTTGGACCATCTTCCACTGCTTTCCTGGGTGCATTAGCAGGAAGCTGAATTGGAAGTGGAGTAGCCAGGTCTCAAACCAGCACCCATATGTGATTCCAGCATTGTAAGCAGAGGCTTAATTTGCTGCACCACAATGCCGGCCTTGGCCCTAAGTTTTTAAATGACTGAATAAGCCAAAATAATTATTTGTGATGAAATATTAATATGAAACTCAAATTCTAGTGTCCACAGTAAACTTTATCTTTTTTTTTTTTTTATTTGACAGGTAGAAATATAGATAGTGAGAGAGAGAGACAGAGAGAAAGGTCTTCCTTCCATTGGTTCAACCCCCAAATGGCCAATACAGCCGGCGCGCTGTGCCGATCCAAAACCAGGAACCAGATGCTTCTTCCTGGTCTCCCATGTGGGTGCAGGGCCCAAGGACTTGGGCCATCCTCCACTGCCCTCTCGGGCCACAGCAGAGAGCTGGACTGGAAGATAGCAACCAGGACTAGAACCTGGCAACCATATGGGATGCTGGCGCCGCAGGCGGAGGATTAACCAAGTGAGCCATGGCACCGGCCCCATCGTAAACTTTTAATGGAACATAGTTATGTCATCAGTTAGACAGTGAGATCTTTCATCTGTTGGTTCACTTCCCAGCTGGGTCAACAGTTAGTACTGGGTCAGGCTGAAGCCAGGAGCTTCTTTCTTCTGGGTCTCCCATGTGAGTTGCAAGGACCCAAACATTTGGGCGATCATCTGCTATTGTCCCAGGCCGTCAGCATGAAGCTAGATTGAAGGTGGAGCACTGGGACATGAACTGGTGCCCAAATGGGATGCCGGTGTCATAAGGGGCAGCTAAACCCACTAAGCACAACACTGAGCTCTTTCTTCCCTTTGAATTAGGGTATCACTTCATGTCCCTTTTCCTAATGCAAAAGTTAAGTTTATTTTCATAATCTTAAAAAACTACCTTACTTTCTTCTCTAAATTAGGAATATTAAAGACCCACCAGGTTTGTCTTTAGGAATAGTACTCAATACTTTGAGCTATGGACCCCTTTTTCTAGTAACATTTTCATTTTCTTTTCCTTATTTTATTCACTGAATTTGCACACGGTAACTATAATTATTACTTACCACATTCTCCTGGATCTGACAGTTCGATACAGAGATACTGGTAGACAAATCTTCTGTAAAATATAAGAAGGAATATGGCTGAGAAAAGACCAAAAATTTCAGTATACATCTTAACAATACTAATATATAACAATGTGAACATCCATGGCATATCAAAATTATAAACAGGTTAACACAGTTAATATAATTATGTACATTAAAAATCTACATTTACAATATTAACTCATCAATAAAAAAAGCTGGTTAAATACAAAGAAATAGTATATAAACATGTATACATGATGTAGCACCATATAGTGATGATATATCATTGAGTTAAAAAGGTAACAGGGGTGGGCGCTGTGGTTTAATGGGCTAAGCCTCCTCCTGCAGTGCCAGAATTCCATATGGGAGCCAGTTCATATCCCAGCTACTCTTCTTCCAATCTAGCCCTCTGCTGTGGCCTGGGAAGGCAGTGGGAAATGGTCCAAGTGTCTGGGCCCCTGCACCCATGTGAGGGACCTGGAAGAAGCTCCTGGCTCCTGACTTTGGATTGGCATAGCTCTGGCCATTGAGGCCACTGGGGGAGTGAACCAGCGGATGGAAGACATCTCTCTCTCTCTGCCTCTGCCTCTCTCTCTAACTCTACCGCTCAAATAAATAAATAAAATCATTAAAAAAAAGGTAACAGGGTAGCATGTGAATTAAAAATAAAAATATTATTTCTAGAAAGTAGAGGAAATGAGGTTCACATACTTCTGATTTAAGTTTATTGGTTTTTCTTACTTTTTATTTGAGAGTGAGGGAGCAAGTGAGAGAAGAGATCAGAGTGTGCACACTCCCATCTGTTAGTTAAGTTCCCAAATGTCTGTAATGGCTGGGGCTGGGTTGGGCTGAAGCTGAGAGCTGGGAATACAATCCAGGTGTACAACATGGGTAGCAGGAATCTGGAGTCAGGAGGAGATGAAAACTGAACACAGTTACTCCAACGTGGAACATCTTAACCACTAGGCTAATTGCCAGCTCCAGAATATTAGTTTTTTTACTTCTTGACGGCTTATATATTTTTTAAAATAAAAAAGTTAGGTAAACCTCCATACTAACATTGAAATATATCTGCTATGTATTAAATAGTTTATAAAAGAAAGTTATAAAAAGAACAGAGTATGTTCATTTTTTGTTAAAAAAAAAAAGATAAAACAATATAGCAGATGATAAAAAGGTTCTCCTTTTTTCAAGTCCTTTCCAAATCAAGAAATCCACACCAAAACATTAATAATGGTTTACAGAGAGGGATGATACAGGATTGGGAGTAGGGACGGGCATTATATGTGTATATAGAGGGCTCTCTCATTTAATATCAGATATTTCTATGAAGTTTAAATGTTTGTATTACTTTGGTAAAGCAAAGAAAGTAACTGTCAGGAAAAGTGAAAAGGGAAACACGGAACTAAACAAGACAATAGGCATCAAACATCTAGAATCATGAAGACAAAGTAGGTTTCTTTTATAATACCAAATATAAAAACATAAAGCTTCATCAATAAGAAAATGTAAGCAAATTATATAAAAATAAATAACATGACTTTTAAAAACTCCATTTAAAAAATATTCAGTTAATTTTTAAATAATTCTAATTTTAAATATTAATGACCAAGAAAAGCCATACCACCAACAAAATATATCTAAAACTCTGCTTTTCAGGAATTCCAGTTTTCTAGTTTAAGTCTAATGTTGTTTTCTTTCTAAGGCCTCCCCCCTCTATTGCTTCCAGGTAAGTTGTTGTAAGGACAGCGACAACAGCGACTCAGTACCAGGAGCACTTATGTGTTAGGCATGGCTAATTGCCCATCTGTGGTCATTATTCCTCCCACTTTATATTGGAAATCTGTAGGGTCCAAGAATCATTCTCCAGAATCCTCATTCTTAATTCTTCAGTAATTCTGCCATTAGAGGCTTTTAACCCTAGGGGGAGAGATCCACGATGGGTTTGCGAGGCTTGGAAACCCTTAGAAAGTACACATAAAATGTCAATGTGTCTGCACGGTTTACTGGGGAAAGGGTCCTTGGTTCTTAAGTTTCAGAGTTCTGTCTAGAACTTCATGAAACTAATGAACCACTGTGAAATATCTATCCATCCTCTCCACTCAATGTTAAACACTAAACATGTACATGATTTTGACTCTTGTGCCTCTGATCATACCTGTCTCTCAAACCAGAGTGATATTACCCCTCTACTTCTTCCATTTAATGCTGCTTATCCTATTCCTATCTGAAGCACAAGGTCCAAATCATGCTAAGAAGTCTTTGCTTGGGGCTGGTATTGTGGTGTAACAGGTAAAGCCACTGCCTGCAGTGCCGGCATCCCATATGGGTGCTGGTTTGAGTCCAACTGCTCTGCTTCAGGTCCAGATCCCTGCTAATATACCTGGGAAGGCAGCGGAAGATGGCCCAAGTCCTTGGGTCCCTGCACATGGGAGACCCAGAAGAAGCTCTGGGCTCCTGGCTTTGGATGGGCACAGGTCCAGCTGTTGCGTTCATTTGGGAAGTGAACCAGCGGATGGAAGACCTTTCATCTCTCTCTCTCTCTCTCTCTGCCTTTGTATAACTCTGCCTTTCAAATAAATAAATAAATCTTTAAAAAAAACTCTTTGCTTACTTTCCTATTCATATCTGAGTTCCTTGAGCTCATTTTTGCTCTTTGATTTATGCTACCACATAACATTCACTTGTGCATGTCATGTCTCCTCATATAGCTTTAATGATCTCTAATATTTCCTTTGTATCCTAGCACAGTGCCTAGCATTATACTAGGAGCTACTGTACAAAATAATACAGCTAAACTGAAATAAACTGTTTTGGAAAGTGGGTGATACTTATTTCAACTTAAATATAGTTGCCTAATGAATGATGTTTGCCCATATAATGTCAATAGGGGAAAAGCATTATGTTACGACTTTTTGATTATTAACTGTTCACTTGAATCTTTATCAAATTTAGGTTTAATTTGATAAATTTTGTTAGTGCAGAATATAGATTTCAACAATTGATCTTTCTGAATGATTTAATTCAGAATTTAAATTCAGCATTTCTGAATTCATAGATTTCATAAGTATGATGTAAACTTCAATATTTTATATATCCCACCATGCAGCAAATACTAATACGGATGCCAATCATAACCATGTTTTGTACCTCATATGTTCTCTTTCACTTGATACTAAAAACTCATTGAGGTATATACTGTTACAGAGAGGAACTTGCTTAATATCACATAGCAGGTTGGTAGAGCCAGGATTTAATGTGGGGAGTACTGACTCTGAAACCTACCTAATTCTTTTTTTTTTTTTTTTTTTAATTTGACAGAGTTAGAGAGAGAGATAGAGAGAAAGGTCTTCCTTCCGTTGGTTCACCCCCACAATGGCCACTATGGCCAGAACTACGCCGATCTGAAGCCGGGAGCCAGGTCTCCCAAGCGGGTGCAAGGGCCCAAGCGCTTGGGCCATCCTGCACTGCCTTCCCAGGCCACAGCAGAGAGCTGGACTGGAAGAGGAGCAACTGGGACTAGAACCCGGCACCCATATTGGATGCTGGGGCCGCAGACAGAGGGTTAACCAAGTGAGCCATGGCACCAGCCCCAAAACCTACCTAATTCTGGGCATTAGGAGTGTGTATACTATTTCTAACATAATTTTATAAAAGAATTAACTAACAATACTTATTACTAAAGATAAAGCTTTAAATGAGCATTAAAAGTACACCAAGGCACGCAATCACACCACACAACACGTAAGACCCAAAGAAGAGAAAAACTCATCAACAAGCTTATTGCTTACTGTGATCATTCCCTTGCCCTGGAGAAGTGCAAACACTTGCTTGAGGCGTAACAGGCATGAGGGCCTGGCGAATTGCTTTTTCCCAGCTCTGTGCTACATCAAGCCCAACTCCAGTGGCAGCAAGAATGGGATTGTGAGAGCTGTCCCCGTTATTCTCACCAACAAAGTATACCATAGTATCAGTGATGATTTCAAAACAGTGTGGATTGCTGCCTTGTGAAATGTTTGTGAAATCTTGTGGAGAAGATACACGGAGAATTTCTGAAAGTGGAATTTCCTGAAGTAGAAAAATTAAAGCATTGGAAAAAATGAACACATCCTTGCTTTTACTTTTAAATACACACTAGAGAATCAAAAACATGTATTTCTATGAATACCGTCAGACAAACACAAGTCGGTGGCAGATGGAACACAGTCTGCCTGCTCATCAATGTGAGAGCAAAAGTGTGGAGTATGACAGCTAAGGCAGTGATTCAGGTCTGTAGCTGGTCAGTAGGAGGCAAGGCAGGAGGGGATTCAGGAAGACCATTTGCCACTATATCCAACTCTTGTCACTTTCCATTTGTCATTAAATCAATTCAATAATTTGCTGCGCTAGTGGCTGCTATCTATAAGATATAGTCCCTGAAGAAATGTCACAGAAATCATGGCAGAATAAACAGAATCCTGCTTCTGTATAAGATGCTTACACACTCCCTCCTGGTTCTGCCTTCTGAGGAAACTGTAACAATCAATCACTTATGTTTGGTCTACCTCCAATGACAATAAACTCAAGACTAAATAAAAACCAACCAGGGGCTGGCATTGTGCTGTAGTGGCTAAAGCCTATGACACCAATGGGTGTTAGTTTGAGTTCCGGCTGCTCCACTTCTGATCCAGCTCCCTACTAATGGCCTGAGAAAAGCAACAGAAAATGGCCCAAGTGTGTGGGCCCCCACCACCCATGCAGGAGAAGAACCCAATGAAACTCCTGGCTTCATCCCCAGCTCTTGTAGCCATTTGGGGAGTGAACCAGTGGATGGAAGATCCCTCTCACCTTCTTTCTCTGTAGCGCTTTCAAATAAATAATCTTAACCCCCCAAAAGAAACCAAAGCCAAATCAGCTCAAAGCCAGTCATTAGTTCCCATTCTCTTTCTTCCTGACCAAACTGCTGTACTTATAATCTTGTCTGCTGTTAATCTGTGACATGGAAGAAGTGAGGCAAGCCAATCAAGGGTGACTATATAGCAGATATGAAAAAGTGATTTCCATATACTAGCCAAGAGTTGTAAAAGGTATGCTCAAATATAACAATGAATGAGACTATTTGTATATATTTGAACATACAGCATTTTAATGTGAAAATCTTACCTTGTAATACTTTGATCCAGATTCATTCTGAAATAATGTCAGACATTTGCTGTCAAGTCTCCAGTAATGCCTCTTTCTCTATAAAATAAACATAAGAAAGCTTGTGAGGATAAAAAATGATGATTCCTCCAAAGTTCTTGTACTTTCCTTCCATTTGTAAATTTGCATTTTTAATAGTTTTGAAACTTATGATGTTCAAAATAATCAAAATATAAGCATAAAGAGGATGTACAGTGAAAGTATCATTCCCACAATCACTTACTCCATTCCCTATCCTTACTCTGAGCAAGCAATGTTACCTTAGTAGATCTGGGGAATCTTTTCAGATTCCATTAACTTTTTGAAGACTCCTTTATAATGCACAGGCTTCAAATTTTTTTGTACCAAAATAAAGTTTTTGAAAATTCCATTTTCCTAAGAACATTTAAGTGTTCTACATAAATTATACACACATATGCCTATAGACATGTAATTTACCTACAGGATAAATGTCTACAGGTTGATTTGCTGTGTGAGAAGACACATACACATGTAATTTTGCTTGACTGTATTATTCTACACAATATTTGACAGTATAGTCTTATCAGCAACACATGAGAATACCTATGCATTAATCCTTCAATAATGCAGTACATTTTTATTTTTTCTTTAATTCTATTCAAAGGCAGAGTTAGACAAGGGAGGGTGGAGAGAGAGAGAGAGAGAGAGAGAGAGGAGAGAGATTTTCCATGGCGGGTTCACTCCCCAAATGGCCACAATGGCCAGGACTGTGCCAGGCTGAAGCCAGGAGCTTCTGAGTCTCTCACATGGTTGCAGAGGCCAAAGCATCTTCCACATCTTCCAGAGCCTTCTTGGGCACATTAGCAAGGAACTGGGTAGGAAGTGGAGCGGCCAGGACTCATACCAGCACCTTTATTGAATGTTGGTGTCACATATGTGGTGGCTTGACTTACTATACCACAACACCAGCCCCTGCAGTATGCTTTTTTTTTTTTTTTTTTGACAGGCAGAGTGGATAGTGAGAGAGAGAGAGAGACAGAGAGAAAGGTCTTCCTTTGCCGTTGGTTCACCCTCCAATGGCTGCCGCGGCCGGCACACTGCAGCCGGCGCACCGCGCTGATCCGAAGGCAGGAGCCAGGTACTTATCCTAGTCTCCCATGGGGTGCAGGGCCCAAGCACTTGGGCCATCCTCCACTGCACTCCCGGGCCACAGCAGAGAGCTGGCCTGGAAGAGGGGCAACCGGGACAGAATCCGGCACCCCAACCGGGACTAGAACCCGGTGTGCCGGTGCCGCAGGCGGAGGATTAGCCTATTGAGCTGCGGTGCCGGCTGCAGTATGCTTTTAAACCTTTTGATCTTTACTATGCAGAAAATGAAAGCTTAAACTGCTATTTATTATACATGAAATCCAGTTCTTATATGCAAGCTATTTGTATTTCCTTTCATCGTGAACCTTGTTCATATTCTCTACCTATTTCTCTATTGTGTTGTGGTATTTTTCTTAAAAATTTACTGGCATTCCTCACATTTTATGTAATTAACCCTTGTTTAGAATATGACCTAGGGCTGGTACTGTGGTGCAGATGGTAAAGCTGCTGCAAGTGATGCCAATATCCCAAATGGGCACCAGTTTGTATCCTGGCTGCTCTAGCAAGCTCCCTGCCAATGCACCTGGGAAAGCTTAGAAGGTGGCCCAAATGTTTGGGCCCTTGTCACCCACATGGTAGATGGGGATGAAGCTCCTGGCTCGCGGCTATGGCCTGGCCCAGTGCTGGCTGTTGTGGTCATCTGAGGAGTTAACCAGTGGATGTAAGTATCCACATGCTTTCCCTTCCCCCATTCCCGCCTCGCTATAACTCTTCCAAATAAATAAATCTTAAAAAAATAATGAGTTGAAAATCTTTGCTTTGGGTTTTTGTCTCACAAATCTTTCTCTCTCTCTCTTTCTAACAAAATATTGAAATTATCTTTTACTGGTCCTCATTGGAAGTTCATAAAATAATTCTTTCAAGCAGAAGATGGCCCAAGTCTTTGGACCCTGCACCCATGCGGGAAACCTGGAAGAAGCTCCTGGCTCTTGACTGCAGATCCGTCCAGCTCTGGCTTTTGCAGCCATTTGGAGAGTGAAAGAGCGAATGGAAGCCCCCCCCCAACCCCGGCTCCGCCTCTGCCTCTCTGTAACTCTGCCTTTCAAAAAGTAAATCTTTAATTCTTTAATTCTTCCAAAGTTCCCTCTACTGGTTTAATTTATTTACTTTTCAGAATAATTTATTATATGTGGGGCCGGCACTGTAGCGCAGTGGGTTAATGCCCTGGCCTGAAGCGCTGGCAACCCATATGGGCCCCAGTTTGAGACCCGGCTGCTCCACTTCCAATCCAGCTCTCCACAGTAGAGGATGGTCCAAGTCCTTGGGCTCCTGCACGCATGTGGGAGACCAGGAAGAAGCTCCTGGTTCCTGGCTTCAGATCGGTGCAGTTCCAGCTGTTGCAGCCAACTGGGAAATGAACCATTGGATGGAAGAACTCTTTATCTCTTTGTCTACTTCTCCTCTCTCTCTGTGTAACTCTGACTTTCAAATAAAAAAATAAATCTTTAAAAAATTTATTATATGCATATTGCAGGGGATATATGCAACTATTTCCCCCGCCCAAATGTCTATATGGTTGTACCAATATTACTTATTGAACTTCCTCTCTCTCCCTCTGCTCATTTGACATAGCATCTTTGATATACTACCAAATTCTTAACATATGTATACCACTTCAAGTTACATTTCTAAGAATGTAGATTATACATAAAAGAAAAAACACTCAATCTCAGTCTATACTGTTGCCAAAAGTTTACTTGAGCCAACTAAATGTACAAGGTATTTCATTTTATTATTAAAGGCTTTCCCAGAAAATCTTTCAGCAATCCTGTCAGCAAAAAAAGAAAAAAGAAAAAAAATTAAAGAATAAAATAATCATTGTGCTACTAGCATTTACTGAGTGCTTACTGTGCCAAACACTGTTCCAGCTCTTCTTATATATTAATGTTTGAATTTATTAAGTACTCTTATCATGCCAATTTTAGATAAGAAAACTAACACATAAAAATAACTTTTTGAAGTTCACAGTTTTAGCAGGTTATGGAAGCTTAGGCAATCTAATTCTAGAGCCTGTGTTCTCAACGACTACACTATACTGATTCTTCATATCTGTCTTTGCACTACAACTTCACCATTCTTCTTAGTTATATCTAAAAAAAGGTGTATATTTATACTAAGTTAAAGCAACATAAAAACAAATGTTTCCTCTCTTTGTTGATAATTTAAGAACACTCACCATGTAAGTTCTAGTTCCTTCTATCTTATATGTAGCTTATTATATTCTGAATATTGCTCTTTACTGTGGCACAATCCCAGGTTTTTGAATCTTGACCACTCTACCAGTTTGTAAATACGTTAAATACTCTGCCTTTAAAGAATTCTTCACCAGGGCAGGGCTAGTGGTTAACATGCCCAAGTACCACATGAGAACACCTGGGGTTCAGTTCCCCAGTGCCAGCTCAACTCCAGCTTCCTGTTGATGCCTGCCCTGGAAGGCGGTGGTGATGATTCCAATAGCTGCGTTTCTGCCACCATGTGGGAGATCTGAACTGAGTTTCCACTTTGGGCATCTGGGGAGTAAGTCAGTGGGTGACTCACTCTTTACCTCTACCTTTCAAATAAATAGATGAGTATTTCAAAAATTTAAAAATAATAAAACAAAAATTCTTTACAAATGTTAATTATAATCCCAGTGTAACTTTCACAGTTTTGTAGTACACATAATATCTTTATCTCATCCTCATATTGATTTTTAAAAATGCATAAAATAAAACTCATAACAAAGGTTTATTAGCTTATTAAGATGTATGGGATTACTAACCAGGTTATCCTTGCTGGTGTAATGGACCATCCATCCTTCCTTCACCATTGTGCTGCTCTTCCTCTTTGTGTGCTTGATGGACTGTACAACTCTCATTAGAGGAATGTTATTGCTTGTTGATGGACTAAAAAATAGTTAAAATTTATTATAAATATTTGATGTGACTTTTCAAAAGTCATATAAATACTACAGTCTCATCAACCTTTTTAAAGATAACTGAGCTAAATTTTTCCAAACTATATTAGGAAGACAAACAGTGTCTCAAGAAGAAAATAAATTTATCTTGTTATGATATATAGTTGATTTACCAAAGACTAAGGTAGTATTGTAAATCCTCTTTATTTGTCATGAATGTTTTCTGGAGGATCCCAAAAGAATAAGAAAATGAATCTTCTCCCATTGGAAGACATGGACTCTCAGAGAGGGTCTTATTTGGGTTTGCTATTTAGTTTTCCTATCTGAGGCAGCAAAAATATGCAAATACATAACAAAGCAAAATGAAGTATGAGAGTAATTCAGAAATTTCATAGAAAATGGAATTAAAAAATAACAAGCATTCCCCACAAACTTTCTCAAGACCCACTGTGGTGTGTGTGTGTGTTTCTGTGTATGTGTGTGTGTGTGTGTGTGTGTGTGTGCGCGCATATATATTTTTTTTTTTCAAATTCACAAGGCTTGAATGTTAAATAGTTGGTCATGTTATTAGCAAAAAAGTACTTCTGGTAGAAGATATTTAAAGGAAAATGATTTATAGATATTAATAAAATAAAAAATAATGTAACAAGTGCAATCAGGTAATAGTGAAATATAGATCCTTAACAGTAGCTAGAGAAAAAGCAATTTGGGGTGTGTGTGTAAAATACATGGTTTTGCAATTTTACCCCCAAATAGTTTAATACTTTCTCTTAAACTATGAAGTACTATGATTAGGACAAGGTTTAGTAATAACGTCCAAACTGAGTTAAAAAAAGTTTTAATTAAATTAAACTTCCATAAACATAGAAACACTTTATATTTCAATAACATTTTTATGAAGTGATAAGTCACATTCAATATGATGCTATGAAAACTGTCCCCAAATTCCTCACCATCATTTTTGTGCAACATTCTCAGAAGTATATTCTTTACTACTGTTTGTGCCATCAGGTAATCTGCCTGTGTGAAGCCAACTGGTGGATTTAACTGATGGGTCAATACTGGCACCTTGTGGTGGCTGCTCAATAGCTGTGTATTATATCTAGACTAAATCTAAACAAAGGCTTTTTCTTTTTAAGAAGAAAAATCGTACTTTCTCATCATGAGAGGGTGGAAACAGCAATATAATTTATTTTAGAAATACTGCAGTGCATGTAAAAGAATTAGCCACATTTAGTAAGACTTTAGAAAATGTTTAAGGTTCTACTTATAGAGATATAACTTTTTCTTAATCAAGATCCTTGAAATGACCTTGTATTTATAAGTAGCTTGCAACACCTACACATGTGTTACCTGATTGTTTTAACAGCTTCTTCATCTCTTTCCACATCAAGATCAGATGGATCCAGGAAGAACATTTTATCTTCTGGGGGAGATGGTTCTTCTGTGTCATCCAGGCCCCGATTACCATCATTATTCATGTCATTATTGTCAATGTCCATTGGTATATCTGTATCTGTTCCCAAACTAGAAGGTTCTAACAACGTTTTAAATGAATTTCAGAGTTTTACATTAATGGATATCAATACATCTAAACAGTCTACTAGATGTGAAAAGAAGTTTTACAACTTTAAATTGTTAGAGTTGCCACATGACTCAAAGTTTTCACTGCTAGCTAACCAAGTGAAAGGAAAACCTATTTCTAATGAGAAAGTATATTCTAGTGTTCACAGTAGCATTATTCACTGACAGACCCATCAAACTGCAGTGACTGGTAAGTGGATCATAAAAAGCAGTATATCCCTGCAAAGGAATATTGCTTGTCCATAAAAAAAGAATGAAGTGTTCAAATGTGCTACAATATGGATGAACTCTGAAAATACTATGCTACATGTAAGAAACTCCAGTCACCCTAGGTGACATCTTGTATAATTCCACTCACAAAATTTCAGAAATAGACAAACACACAGAAATACAAAGGATTAGCGGTTGCCAAAGACTAGTGGGGAGGAAAGAATAGGGAGTCACTACTAATGGGTACTGAATTTCTTTTAGGGTGAGGAAAAAATTCTCACACTAGATTGTAGTAATGGATATATAATTTTGTGATCATTTAAAACAGGTGAATTGTAAGGTATGCAAATTTTATCTCAAGAAAGTTGTTAAAAGTTAGTGCCCTTGAAAGTAGGCCCAATCGGCCGGCGCCACGGCTCACTAGGCTAATCCTCCGCCTTGCTGCGCCAGCACACCAGGTTCTAGTCCCGGTCGGGGCGCCGGATTCTGTCCCAGTTGCCCCTCTTCCAGGCCAGCTCTCTGCTGTGGCCAGGGAGTGCCGTGGAGGATGGCCCAAGTACTTGGGCCCTGCACCCCATGGGAGACCAGGAGAAGCACCTGGCTCCTGCCATCGGATCAGCGCGGTGCGCCGGCAGCGGCAGCCATTGGAGTGTGAACCAATGGCAAAGGAAGACCTTTCTCTCTCTCTCTCACTGTCCACTCTGCCTGTCAAAAAAAAAAAAAAAAAAAGTAGGCCCAATCAAATTTCTGTGCCCATACCACCACGTGAAAAAGCAACTAGAAGGCACCATCTATGAATTAGGAGACAAACCCTCAACTAGACATAGAATTTGTTGGCTCCTTGGGATGTCTCAGTCTTCAAAACTATGAGAAATAGATTTTTATATGTAAAGGTATAATTAGACATGTAGCACCACTGATTGTATTAGATTATAAAGTAGGAGGTGGCTAGAGGAAAGATGGGAAGGCATAATTACTGGTAAATGTATACCATCCCTGATCTCTGTATTTTGTTATTAAATTGGAAAAACACAGTAAAAAATGTTAAAATACAAAATATAACTCATGCAAAGATAAGACACAGAAGAATAGTGAATTATACCTCCATTGAAAGTAACTTCTCCAAAGCAGTCTCTTGGTACTTTTGATGCACAGCGTTTATGGCAGTTAAATTTGCAATCTAAAATATAAGAATATTTGGCTTATTAATTTATGTTAAAAGTCTGATAATATCAGCTATTTTTAGACTTTCTTTAAATTACTCACAGATGGAATATTAGTAAGTGATGAGACGATAAGATAATAAAGTCTTCCTCTACTAAGAACTCAAATCTTGGACTAAAGGTCTGGCTTCACACTCTGATAGTTCTTCTTAATTTCAATTAATTAATTAATTGAGAGTCAAAGAGAGAGAGAGCTCCCATCTACTGTTTTACTCCCCAAATGCTACAGCAGCTGGGGCTGACTCCAAGAGACAACTCAATCCAGGTTTTCCAATGGTTGGCCAGAACCCATTTACTTGAGGCATCATCAGTGCTTCCCAGGGTGTACTCTAACAGGAAGTTGGCGTCAAGAAGCAGGACTGGGTTTCAAACTCAGGTAGTTTGATTTGTCTTAACCAGCATCTTAACCATTACTCTAAACCATACAACCCAAGCTGTTCCATCTCAATTAAATTATTTCTTTTCTTCTTTCTTAGTTGGTGAATGAAAATGTGACTATTTTACACTTTAAGTACCTTAATTCATATTATAATAATGTAAGAACCATGGAATTAAAATTATTTTCACTGTAACTGAAACAGTTTAGCTATTCAGAAGTACAACCTGCCACTTTCCAAACTAATATAAGCACAAAACATTCTTCTTCTAGAATCCTAAAAAGTTAAACTAGCAACTCAGTAGCAGTTAACAGACTCTATTAAAATATTCTTCAATATACATATCTATTTTAGTTTTTCTATAAAATATTGTACTTTTCTGCATATGATTTTATGGCTTCTGTTCTTCTTAGCATAGTAACACTATTAACTATCTTTACTAAGATTATCTGTTGGCTAGAATTTTGTATATCTGTTACTAATGTTCTTTCTCAAAACATTTCTCAGTGGCTGCTTGCCAGTACACTTTTGTGCTTATATTCTAAAGTATTAATTTATGTATAAACTCATATTCAAAGCAAGCTGTTGAAATAAAATTTCAACCTTTAATTACGACTGCCTGACAACAAATGGGAAACGTGTTTTCTATTTGGTATTCTCATATACTGTCATACATTATCAAGAAAACTTTCCTACATCCAAGTTAAATTTACATATAATTATTCTGTTTTGAAAGTAACGATTTATTGTTGCAAAAACTTTAGTGTTTTATCACTTGAAAATTCAGCTGCACAAGTATTTCTACCATATTAAAAAAAGGATTCCAAAAATTGTTAGATTAATGGGAAAAAGTACCTAAGATTATAGACTACTTCTACCCTGTAATAGCTCAATGACTAAGACATTTAGGTTAAGGAACAATTTTGAGAAGATCCAAGAGAAAAGGATAAAATCATCTTTAGAAAACATGAAAGTATCATGCAACTATAAGAAAAGTATTCTATTATTCTATTAAAAATCTTACTTCTGAGAATATTTTGGGAATAGTGTGCTAGGTTAGTATCCAAATAAGGGTCCTTATTTTAATTTCAATGGTTTTCACTATAGCCTGCCTACTTCAGTATGATTGCTCCAAGGATTTATAGTATTTGTACAGTTTCCTAGCTACATGATCAAAAAAACTTACATATTTATGTTTCTGAGTTTGAAAAACACTATTTTTAAAGTATTATTTCTTTGAGTGGTGTCTTGCTCTACAATCAAAAGATATACACTCGGCCGGTACCGCGGCTTACTAGGCTAATCCTCTGCCTGCGGCGCCGGCACCCCAGGTTCTAGTGCCGGTTGGGGGGCCGGATTCTGTCCCGGTTGCTCCTCTTCCAGTCCAGCTCTCTGCTGTGGCCCGGGAAGGCAGTGGAGGATGGCCCAAGTGCTTGGGCCCTGCACCTGCATGGGAAGCACCTGGCTCCTGGCTTTGGATCGGTGCAGTGTGCCGGCCGTAGCAGCCATTTGGGTAGTGAACCAACGGAAGGAAGACTTTCTCTCGGTCTCCCTCTCTCACTGTCTAATTCTGCCTGTCAAAAAAAAAAAAAAAAGTACACTCAACTAACACCTTTGCTGCTTACTAATACATAATGACAAGTGTTAAGTTAGGCTTTGCCTCACAGATCCGACTTCTAATTTTTCTGTTTTCTGTTATGTGATCAAAAGCAAGTTATTCAGTCTATGTTTATAAAATGGAAAATTAATTACCATTACTAACAAATGCATATTTCACATATAGGTGCTTTCAAGATTGCATATGGGGGGCCAATGCGGTGACATAGTGGGTGAAGCCGCCGCCTGCAGTGCCAGCATCCCATATGGGCACCTGTTTGAGATCTGGCTGCTCCATTTCCAACCTAGCTCTCTGCTATGACCTGGGAAAACAGTAGAAGATGGACCAGGTCTCTGGGCCCCTGCACCCACGTGGGAAACCCGGAGGAAGCTCCTGGCTTCTGGCTTTAGACTGGCACATCTATGGCCATTGGGGCCATCTGGGGAGTGAACTAGTGGATGGAAGACCTCTCTCTCTAACCCTGCCTCTCTGTAACTCTGCCTTTCACATAATAAACAAATCACAAAAAAAAAAAAAAAAAAAGGTTGTATATGGAAAAATTCTTTTTTTAACATGTTTGGGACACAGTACACACATTACAGATAGTAGTAGTAGTTAATATACACATACACTTTATTAGGCTTTTCCTTTCTTTTCTAAGTTAACCACAAGAGAGATTTCTCTGGGGCCGGTGCTGTGGTGTACCTGGTTAAGCCCTGGCCTGCAGCACCAGCCTCCCATATGGGCGCCAGTTTGAGACCTGGCTGCTCCACTTCTGATCCAGCTCTCTGCTATGGCCTGGGAAAGCAGTAGAAGATGGCCCAAGTCCCTGGGCCCCTGCACCCGCTGGGAGAGCTGGAGGAGGCTCCTGGCTCCTGGCTTCAGATCGGTACAGTTCCAGCCATTGCAACCAGCTGGGGAGTAAATCAGCAGATGGAAGACTTCTCTCTCTCTCTCTCTGTCTCTCTTCTCTCTATGTAACTCTTTCAAATAAATACATAAATCTTTATAAAAAAAAGAAAGATTTCTCTGGCAAATGCTTTTGATATATAAATATTTTAAACATGTATTTGCTAACAAAAACGGACATGAAATGTACTTAAGGAAAACACCCAATCCTACCTTTACACTGCATTCCTTGGCGAAAGAGGCCTTTGAGTAAGCGCTTGCAGTACTGACATATTGTGGGGCGGCCGTAAGAGTGGACAGCAAATGTGTGTGGCACTTTCACTCTGCACATCACCATCTTCTCCATCCAGATTGGGCGACCACTCCAAGAAGGAATTCTCTTACTTGGTTCTTGGTGAAGATGTGACTAGAACGTAAGTTATTTCCATATGTCAATATTAAACATAAAGTTATAGGGAGCAAAGCTCAACCACAATAGACATTTCTGTGGAACGCTAAGCCCAGAGTCTAAAATGTAGATCTCAGCAGTTTCCTTTGGAAAGCTTAATTTAACAGTCCTTCAGGGAGAAAAGTAGAGGCTGTTACTACTTATGCTAAGAAAAAAACCACTAAGATATGCTCAATCTCATATATATATATATATATATATATACACACACACATTCACTGATTAACTATTATTTGCCAGGCACATTCTAAAAAACAAAAGCATTAAAATGAATTTGCAACATGTTCAAATCCCTTCAAAATCTGAGGAAATTAATCACAAGAAAAGTAAACAAATTCAGGAAGTATTACTGCTCATGTTGCATTTTTGAACACATCTGAAAATATTTTAAAACAAATCTTAGGTCTTTCAATTTATCTTAACAAATAATAAATATATATGTAAAACTGAACTCTAATTTTGATGATACAAATAAATTACAGATGATAATTTTTATGATATAAATAAATTACAGATACAAAGCTAATTAAAATAACACAAAGGCCTAGTTCCTTGATACTTCTAGTCTTCCCCAACCCTGCCAAAGTGAACAAGAAGCAAAATTAAAGAACGACAAATTAAAAATTTCCATGTAACCTGGGGGGTAAGTAGCTTTTTATAACTATGGCCCTTTCTATATAAAAGGAATAATCAAACTAAATTATAGGTTAGCTGAAGTAGTTCATTCCATTCCTTCAATAAACATTCAGAGGTTAATACATGCCAATATACTATAAACTGAGGACATAAAAATGAGTAACATCTAAACCATGTCCTCAAGTGCAAAATTCATTACCTAACTACCACCCAGATATTTTAACAGATTTGTTGCATTTACTTGTATCTTCACTGCTAGAATTGAAATCCTTGGATCTTTGTGTGTGTGTGTGTGTGTGTGTGTGTGTTTTTTTTTTTTGACAGGCAGAGTGGACAGCCAGAGAGAGACAGAGAGAAAGGTCTTCCTTTTCCGTTGGTTCACCCCGCAATGGCTGCTCCGGCCAGCGCACTGTGGCCGGTGCACCACGCTGATCCGAAGCCAGGAGTCAGGTGCTTCTCCTGGTCTCCCATGCAGGTGCAGGGCCCAAGAACTTGGGCCATCCTCCACTGCACTCCTGGGCCACAGCAGAGAGCTGGACTGGAAGAGGAGCAACCAGGACTAGAAACCAGTGCGCCGGCGCCGCAGGCGGAGGATTAGCCTATTGAGCTGCGGCACCGGCCAAAATCCTTGGATCTTTTAGATGCCTTCTATAACTAGTTATGTTTATAGCTCTGAGAAGTTGAGTCATTCTACACTGATATATTCAATCAATTAAAACAAAGAGGGGTCAGAAGAAACCAAGAGACAGAAATAGAACGTACAGTCAAGAGGAGGAGAACAAGTAGGAGGAGGGCCGGTGCCATAGTATAGCGGGTGAAGCTGTTACCTGCACTGCAGGCATCCCAGGTAGGCACTGGTTTGAGTCCCGGCTGCTCTACCTCTGGTCCAGCTCTCTGCTATAGCCTGGGAAAGCAGTGAAAGATGGATCAAGCCACTGGGTTCCTGTACCTGCATGGGAGACCCAGAAAAGGCTCCTGGTTCCTTGCTTTGGATTAGCACAGCTCCAGCCCTGGCAGTCATTTGGGGAATGAGCCAACGGATAGAAGACCTCTCTCTCTCTTTCTGCCTCTGCCTCTCTGTAACTCTGCCTTTCAAATAAATAAATAAACAAACAAATAAATAAATAAAACAAATCTTTCAAAAAAATAAATTAAAAAAATTAAAAAGAAAATGTAGGAGGAAGAAAAAGACATAACAATACAGAATGCTACAAAAACAGCATACATGTAAATTTAAATGAACTCTTTTACTAATGTGTAATCACAAATTTCCTAAATGATTTTGTGATAGTATAATTCAGGAAAAGTACAAAGAGAATATTAAAACCCAAACCACACTTGCATACTTAGGCTGTCCAAGATGAGTCTGTCTCACCCTCTCCATTCTGCATGAGTAGACCACCTTTAGTCAAGGCAACAACACAGTGAGTCTGTGAAGACTAATAAAGAAGCCAGCAGGAACTAGAAACAGATGTTTTAGGCCCTTGTTCACCCTGACTCCCCACTCTAGTAGTGAATCAACAATATGTTTATCTCGCTTCTGCCTCTACTCCTTTTGGATTATCTCAAGTTCAAAACACAGAAGATAGAATAAGACTGATTTAGTCAGTCATATAAAATATACAAGGTAACTGTATAATAAAGAGATTTCATAACAGATCCCTTCATAGGCCAATGGTCAGTTTGTAACTAACTGCCTTGTCCTCAGGTCCTCAAAAGATTAATATACTAGGGACACAGTGCACAGTATGTGTGCCAGGAAATATTCAAAAGACTGGGACTGTGGCAACCACCTGTTATGTTCTATACAAGCAGTTATTTATGTTATTCACCCTACTTGAAACATGAAAAAAATCAACTCAAAGGGATTAGTACTACCACGGTGTATTAGAATTAACCTGAACTTAAACTTAGGTCTTTCATACCACACAGTCTAATGATTCTTAACATTTTTCCCACCCCCAAATATCTGGGTTTATAATACAGTAAACAGTGGTTGCCACTGTACTGGGTGAGGAAGGCAGAAATAGCATGTCAGACTTAATCAGAATCTGGGGAAGAATATGTTGGTAGAAGTACATAGAGAATTTAGTTAAAATGGGAACCCTCTGAGAAATCAGAGAAACTAGAAAAAAGTCAAAGTTCTTTTCTTACCTTGCTTTAATGCTACAAACCAAGGTTTAGCTTTAAAATTATTATTTCTTCCTTAACAGTGTGCAAATTTTTTTTAAAAGAAATCTGATTATTTCCACACTCATGTTGAAGTCAACACTTGGCAAAGTATTCACTAACCAAAAACGTTGTAGCAGTATCACGGATTCAAGCATACACAATAATAAAAACAAAAGCATTTTAAAAACTGGCAATTCCTTAATTACAAATATTCAATCAGTCTATTGTATTATTTAGTAAAAGTAGTACCTCCATTTGGCATATACATTTAGTCCTAATTTGATTCTGTCTTGTCCTGGCCCCTCAGGAAGTTTCTCAGTAGCACCGAATGGAATATTTATGTCTCATCTTCAAATAGCAACACTCAAAAAAATTCTAGTTTCTGTAATCTTAGTGATTCCATTCCAACCAAATTCAATGAACAATCTACCTTCTTCTGTTTTTCCACTTCTGTACTCAATTGCCTTTAGACTGACTTCTGACATTTTAACAGAAACTGCCTTCTTACACGCGATCAATCACAACCTCAGAGGCAGATTCAAAAGTTTCTACTCCCGATGGCCTACTTTCAGTATTATCTTAGTATTCAGTGAGGTTTAATATCTTGGTTGCACAGCTTCTCCGTTTTCCCTAGCTTTCACATTAGGATAATACCTGTACTTCCCAGCAATGTAGTGAGAATTACATTAAAAAAAAAAAAAAAAAAGTAAAGCATCCAGCACAAAACTGAGTATATGGCAGGTTAAGAGGCTTTTGTTTTTAATAAAAGATTTATTTATTTGAAAGTTACACGGAGAGAGGAGAGGCAGAGAGAGTTTTCCATCTGCTGGTTCACTCCAAACTGGCCAGAATAGCCGGATCTGTGCTGATCTGAAGCCAGGAGCCAGGAGCTTCCTCTGGGCCTCTCACACAGCTACAGCGGCCCAAGGACTTGTGCCATCTTCTAGTGCTTTCCTAGGCCATAGCAGAGAGGTGGACTGGAAGTGGAGCAGCAGGACTTGAACTGGCACCCATATGGGATGCAGAAACTGAAGGTGGCGGCTTTATTGGCTACACCACAGCGCCGGCCCCCAGGAGGCTTTTAATGTATAGCCAACTCCCAGTACGTTCTTCACTAACCTTTGTTGAGCACTGGGGTTACTCTTGTTTCTTAATTTCTTAATTGCTATCTCCATCATTTCTTTTTTTTTTTTTAAAGATTTATTTATTGCCGGCGCCGCAGCTCACTAGGCTAATCCTCCACGTAGCGGTGCCGGCACACCGGGTTCTAGTCCCAGTCGGGGCGCCGGATTCTGTCCCGGTTGCCCCTCTTCCAGGCCAGCTCTCTGCTGTGGCCAGGGAGTGCAGTGGAGGATGGTGCTTGGGCCCTGCACCCCATGGGAGACCAGGAGAAGCACCTGGCTCCTGCCAACGGATCGGCGCGGTGCGCCGGCCGCAGCGTGCCGGCTGCGGCAGCCATTGGAGGATGAACCAACGGCAGAAGGAAGACCTTCCTCTCTGTCTCTCTCTCTCACTGTCCACTCTGCCTGTTAAAAAAAAAAAAAGATTTATTTATTTATTTATTTGAAAGAGTTACACAGAGAGGAGGGAGGGAGGGAGGGAGGGAGGGAGGGAGAAAGAGAGAGAGAGAGAGAGAGAGAGAGAGAGAGAGAGAGAAAGAGAGGTCTTCCCTCCGCTGGTTCATTCCTCAGATGGCTACAACGGCTGGAGCTGCGCCAATCCAACGCCAGGAGCCAGGAGCTTCCTCTGGGTCTCCCACATGGGTACAGGGGCCCAAGGACTTGGGCCTTCTTCTACTGCTTTCCCAGGCCTCAGCAGAGACCTGTGGATGGGAAGTGGAGCAGCCGGGACCCGAACCAGCGCCCATATGGGATGCTGGCACTGCAGGTCAGGGTGTTAATCTGCTGTGCCACCACGCCAGCCCCCGCCCCCCACCGATCTCCATCATTTCTTTAGAGTGCCTTCTCTTCCCACTCTTCCATTCCCTGGATTTCTTCCCATGAGCTCTTCTCTTATTCTTCCTGCTTCTTTCTGACACTACATCTGTGGAAAGCCATTTTGAGAGACCTGCCACTCTACAAGTTCTACTTGCTTTAAAATATTCTATAAACAATCTAGTCAACTTAAATGTGACACTCTACTTATTATAC